TCCTTCCTGCTGACTGTTTTTCCCCTTCCTGCTGGCTGTATTTTCCCCTTTCTGCTGGCTGTTTCTCCTGATGACTGTTTTCCCCTCTCTGCTGGCTGTTTTTCCCCTTCCTCCTGGCTGTTTCCCCCCTTCCCGCTGTCTATTTTTCCCCTCTCTGCGGGCTGTTTCCCCCCCATCCTTCTGGCTGTTTTCCCCCCATCCTACTGTCTATTTTTCCCCTTTCCTTCTGGCTGTTTCCCCCCTCCTGATGGCTGTTTTTCCCCTCTCTGCTGGCTGTTTTTCCCCATCCTTCTGGCTGTATTTCCCCCCTCCTGATGGCTGTTTCAATCCTTCCTGCTGACTGTTTTTCCCCTTCCTGCTGGCTGTATTTTCCCCTCTCTGCTGGCTGTTTTTCCCCTTCCTCCTGGCTGTTTCCCCCCATCCTGCTGTCTATTTTTCCCCTCTCTGCTGGCTGTTTCCCCCCCATCCTTCTGGCTGTTTTCCCCCCATCCTACTGTCTATTTTTCCCCTTTGCTTCTGGCTGTTTCCCCCCTCCTGATGGCTGTTTTTCCCCTCTCTGCTGGCTGTTTTTCCCCATCCTTCTGGTTGTATTTCCCCCCTCCTGACGGCTGTTTCCCCCCTGCCTCTGTCTCCCCAGAAGCTGGCAGCTGAGTGCCAGAGCGCTGGCTACCCGGGCACGCTGATCCCCTACAAGTGTGACCTGTCCAACGAGGAGGAGATCCTGTCCATGTTCTCTGCCATCAGGACCCTGCACCAGGGGGTGGACGTGTGCATCAACAACGCGGGCCTGGCGCGGCCCGAGCCGCTGCTCTCGGGGAGGACGGAGGGCTGGAGGACCATGATCGATGTGAGTATTCCCGGGCCATTTGTGTCTGTCCTGGCCACCCTGTCCTCATTGCAGAGCTGAGGGTTTGCTCCCCAGCCTGCTCTGACACAGCCCAGTTGTGCTGCTCGGGGGGTGGAAGGGCATCCTGCCCTGCTGAGCCCTCACCTTGGAGGATGGAAACACAGCAGCATTTTTCCTTCAGCTCACTGGCTTTCTAAAGGATGAAGAGCCTCCCTTTTTCCTCTTTTTTTCCTTCATTTTTTCCTCTTTTTTCCATCTTTTTTCCTCCTTTTTTCCTCCTTTTTTCCTCCTTTTTTCCTCTTTTTTCCCTCTTTTTTCCCTCTTTATTTCCTCTTTTTTTCTCTTTTTTCTCTTTTTTCCTTTTTTTCCTCTTTTTCCCTCTTTATTTCCTCTCTTTTTTTCTCTTTTTTCCTTTTTTTTTCCTCTTTCTCCCTCTTTATTTCCTCTTTTTCCTCTCTTTTTCCTCTCTTTTTCCTCTCTTTTTCCTCTCTTTTTCCTCTCTTTTTCCTCTCTTTTTNGGGCAGGCTGGGTTTAGGGCAGGCTGAGCTCTGTGGGGCTGGGTTTAGGGCAGGCTGGGTTTAGGGCAGGCTGAGCTCTGTGGGGCTGGGTTTAGAACAGGCAGGCTGGGTTTAGGGCAGGCTGGGTTTAGGGCAGGCTGGGCTCAGAGGAAGGCAGGGATATTGCTCTAATGAGCTGTCACGGTGACAGCAGTGTCACCTCCGCCATGCCAGCCTGGAGCAAGGAGTGACAAACTCAAAGTGCCTTGACGTGAGTGAGGAGGGGCTGGGTGAGTGCCTGAAAGTGGCAGGGACCTCTGGGGCCGTTGGCTGTGTGTGACAATGGAAACTGAACACTGAGTGAGCTGAGGAAACATCTCTGGGATGCTGAACTGCTGGGGGAGTGAAGGGAGCAGAGCAGGCTTGGGAAGGAGCAGTGAGGTCTGGAGCAACCAGACCCGGCTTAGCAGGAGCCTGGCAGGAAATGTGGAATGATATTTATCCTTGGATCTTATGGGCCAAAAGGAACCCACAGCTCAGAGTGTGATTCTCTCCATGTGACACTGCTCTGAATCCCACTCCTGCGCACAGAGCGCTGTGGAAATAAATAAATAAACAAACAAACCTCACCCTGCTGCTTTATTCACTGTACCTCTCTATTATGCTGTTGTGCTGTTATTGAATCTTAATTAAAAGCAGCTTCAGGCTTGCCAATCAGTGGAATGAGAGGGTTTGTAAGCCCCCAGTTGTCTCTCACAGCTGTGGTGCTGTTTGTTACAGTTTTTCCTCCTTCATTTCCTTCAGGTAGCAAAAGTGATTGGGGTGATTTTGGTGCTTTTCCAGTTGGTTTCTTGGTGCAGGAGCTCAGTCAGTGGGACACAGGTTCCTGTGGTGAATGGCAGGTGAGATTAAAAATCACCCAATGGCTTCTCCTGGCTTCCATCTCTCTGAGCTAAACGTGTCTGAAGTTATTGGGAGGCTTTGCCAAATAAAGCCCTGCTTGACTCCTTCCTTCCTTTCCCCCCTCTTTAGAGCCCCTTAACACTTTATATCAATTATTTCTGTAAAACCGTTTCACCAGGAATGAATGTGGGTGCAGGGCACTGTGGGTGTGCACAAAGAGCATTAACCCTTTCAGGGGAGAGCTGGAGGTTTCTGAGCACAACAAACCCATCCCATAAATGAGAGGCATCCTTTCAGACTGGCTGGCCATTTCCAGGCACCCAGAGATAATGCTGTGCTGCAGAGATGCTGGGAGTGTCCCAGGCTTTGGAGCAACCTGGGACAGTGCAAGGTGTGGAATTGAATGATCTTTAAGGTCCCTTCTAACCCAAACCATTCTTATTTCAGATTTCCATCTCCAGCTGCTGGACTTGCACTGCCCTCACCTGTATTGCAGTTGCATTACCTGGTCACTCTCAAATTGTTTATGAAATCTGGAAAATCAGCTTTTTTCCTCTTTTTTTTTCTTTTCTCCTTGTGCATGTGGTGTGCTCAAGGTGGAGTGAGCATCACTTGAGTGACTTAATGGATGCTCTGAAAAAAAAACCCCTCCATGAGCTCCAGCTCAGAGCTGCTTTTCAAAAGTCTCTTGCAAACTTGCCTGCAGTTGATGTTTCTTTGAAGAGCCTGTGATGACTCTTTATCTGTAGATGGCTGGAGCACAATCCAGCCCTGCCTGGGTGTCAGCAGTGTTCAGCACTTGCTTTTCAAAGAGAATTTGTCAGCACAAGTGCAGCCTGAGAGATGAAAGGATCCGTGTTGGAGGCAGCCAGACACCAGGCAGGGAAGGAAAGGTTTTGAGGGAGATTTGATTTCCCAGGTCAGTTGTGGCAGAGACGCTGAAAAGAGAAGTGAAAGGGCATTCTCGTGGTGCAGCTGGAGCAGAGGAGGGGCAGCCTCAGCCAGAATGCTCAGCTTGGAGGGGCCACAGTGGG